TAGACAGCATGGGGATGTTGGTAATTTATTTTAACAATGATTGATTTGCTTCATAAGTGAAAAACTGATGTTTAACTAGTTGAGCTATGTGCAAAGTGAGAAGCCTCAGATGGTTTCACACTAAAGTATTGACACTGGATCTTTGTGCAAAGTTTGGTTTATTTTCAAGCATGAGAAGGCAGATTTTCTAGCAGAAAAAAGACTTGTAGATGCTGAACAACGATGAGTCAGGCTCAAGCAATTCTAAGCAATAAACTGGAGCACAGGAAGATGATTAAGATGTTTAAATTACAATGTGGATTCTGCACCAGTTGAGGCTCAAACCCGCAACCTCAGGAACCTAAGACAGTCATCTACCGCTCTGAGCTAATTGGCAAGTAGCAACTCAACAGTGGCAACAGTAAGCGATTCACAAAGCAGCCATCCGTGCATGGAAGGGCAGATTTGAAACCACTGTAAAAAATTCAGTTATTAAGACAAAAATCTGAAATTACACATATTGCATCTAGACAGCATGGAGATGTTGGTAATTTGTTTGTAACAATGATTGATATGCTCCATAAGTGAAAAACTCATGTTTAAAATTGCCATTTTTACATTGACTCCAATTGTTCACATTAGAGCAAAATTCAAACTGCTGTCCAAAATTCAGTTTTTGAGATAAAATTCTGAAATTTGCCACACATCATCTACCATGACTCTATGCCATGTCATTTTTTTTCATGAATATTGAAGATTTATTTAGCAAGAATTTGCATGTATATGTTTACAGTACCATTTACAGTCAAACATTTTGATAGTAGGCTCAATTTTTGATAAATCAAAAATCTGAGAAACAGTCCGAAGACAGTCTGAAGATGCTCTGTAGCAAGTTTGATGTCAATTGAGCAAAAATTGTGGGAGGAGATTGTTTTTTTAAAAAACTGTACAAAAGTTTCTTCATATTGGGACTAAAGTTTGATGAAAGTTGTTAAGTTATAGCATGTATGGTTGATTTGCTATGAATTTTCAAAGTTTTGAACTTTAGATGCTTGCTGTAGCGCCACCATCAGGACTATTGGCTTGAGTTTACAGCTGAGGATATCTGGCATGAGACTGGACCTTTGTGCAAAGTTTGGTGAGTTTTCACCCATGGGAAGTATGATTTCCTCGGAAGAAGAAAGAAGAAAGAAGAAGAATACCTAGGATTACAATAGTGTCCTGGCAGCTTAGCTGCCCGGACCCTAACTAGAGATCGCCTTGCTCTTCACATCAATATCACTTCACTGTGGGGTAGCCAGCCATCACATTAGCATCAGAGGCCTCAAATGTGTGCACTTCCCTCACTTCCAGCAGACTCCCCAAAGTCCACTGGCTCCTCTGTTATAAATGTGTGGCAGTTTAACAATGTTTTGTACTTTTCCACAGATAGGTATACTTTATTAATCCCAGAGGAAACTGAAGAATGGTTTGCTGCTCAGACAACAAACCAGCCACAACAATAAAAATAAATTAAATAACATCAGTTAGAGAACATCAACACAACAGCTGTGAAACATATCATCAGTAATAAATATATATTTATAGATTGTTTTCTTTTATCTCAGACATAGATTAGTAATGATTAATCATACCTTAATGAATATCTAAGATTAGACAGCCTGGCTACATCACAGTTATTTGATACTGGAGAAAAAAATCCAGCTATTGTTCAGTGTAATGCCAGATAATGACGACTTTTCTAAATGGTTGTTGAAGTAAATAACCTGGCTCTTCTACAAGTCCTTGTCCATGCAATTTACACTCATTAGAAAGTAGCCTACCTGAAATGATAATTAACTTGAAGGTTGAACTTACCATTCACTCCCAAAACTTAAGCAATTTCACACCACGTCTTCTCCTTTTGGTTTATGTCTTTGTAGAAAGGATGTGTGGTGTCATACAAAATAATATGATTTTCCACTTCAACGATTAGTTTCTCCTCGTCCATCTTTCCATGGACCCTCGCACTGACTGAGAACTTGCGCTTCAGGATGTGACGTAATTTTTTTTAAAAATTGAGAGTTTACAATTCGTAGTCCGTGCATTGTGATGTATTTTGAAATTTACCGGATGCTGTGTGTGTTCCATTTCCGGTTTGGTGCCATCTGAGCTACGTGGCTTGACATGAAATGGGCGCGCAGTCGCTGAAAAATAGACCTGGCGTGTATCTCCAACAAAGCAGAGTGCCGTGCAGCTTCTGGGACGCTCCAGAGACGCTGCACACCGCTTGCTGTGGAAATGCAGCTATTCACTAGAATGGGAGCGTATTTGCTACGCAGTGCGCTGCGCGCCACTTATGAATTATGTGGAAATTGGGGGTGAGGTATGGCTCACACAATTGGCTGCTCCATATATCGGCAGTTGTAGAGAAGTGGGTCACATTTGTAAGGTGATTAGCCAGCTCTTCTCTCACTTTAATGTACAACTCAGGTAGAGCTTTGTCTGCAAAACATTTGCGATCAGGCAGATGATCTATTGGGTCAAGTGTGTTGATAAGCTTTCTAAATCTGGACTTTTCAACCACGCTAACTGGGGCCATGTCTTTTGCTATGAGGTGGGTTACTGCGAACGTTATCTCCTTCTGTTTTTGACTGTTTTTGTCGTACGGTGTTGATCTGGAAAGGGGAGACGCCAAACTCAATTGCGTCAGTGCTGGTTACTTTGGCATTTTATTTGTTGTGGAACCAGCCGGAGATGTTGACATGCAGAGTTTCAAGCACTAGTTTTCTAGTAGGTGGATTTTCAAATGATGATTTAAATTTGTCGTACTGCTACCTTTTGTGGCAACGCTATTGCGGCATATTTTGCACAACACTGTTGTGTATTCATCGTCTTCCTTCTTGAACCCAAACTACTGCCAGACAATGGATCCTGTGCTCTTTTTCTTTGGAATTAATTTGTCTTCCTCCATCTTCTGTTTCCATTCGCACATGCTGCTACCATTCTGCTGAGCAAGGGTGTATGCCGTAGCTCACGCGAGAGTATGGGATGTATGTAGGTGCGCTTGTTTTGTCTCTCTATGAGAAGGACAGACGAGAAAGAGCGAGAAAAGCCTGTAGTTTAATGCCCGCAGCTAAAAGCAACTGTGTGACAATGTATACTTGAATATTCACGATATAGTCATTTTCTACATCGCCAAGAGAACAAGCCGGGATACATCGTGTATATTCGATATATCGCCCAGCCCTAGTTGGATGTACTGCCAAATAAACTTAAATGACATTGGAGACGTCTTATGAGAGTGAAATGAACATTCAGTTCACAGGCAACAGCTCTGGTGGACATTCCTGCAGTCAGCATGCCAATGGCACGCTTCCTTAAAACTTGCAACATCTGTGGCATTGTGTTGTGTGATCAAACTGCACATTTTAGAGTGTGCTTTTATTGTGACCAACCCAAGACACAAATGTGTAGTAATGATGCTGTTTAATCAGCATCTTGATATGTCACGCCTCTTTGGTGGATGTATTATCTTGGAAAAAGAGAAGTGCTCACTAACATGGGTTTTAACAAATTGCAACCAAAATTTGACAGAAATATATCTATTGAGTGCATAAAAATGTCTTAGATCTTTAACTTACACCTGTGAAAAATGGAAGCAAAAACAGAAGTGTGTCTAAATTTCTGTTCAGTGTTTATATGGTGTTCAGAGTACAAGAAATGTACTCTATCTGTGTGCTTTGGCCTGTCCAGTAATGTGTGAATCTAATTTACAGCAGAGTCATGCCTTAATAATCTGTTCTCCTGACTGTGCTCCATCCTCTGACTTCCTCTGCAGTTACAAGGGGGAGGGGATTGTCAGTGGCTGCCCAGAGAAAGTGTGGGAGTGTCTGAAACCAGTAACCAATGGACTCAGAGTCAAGTGGGATAATAATGTGAAAAAGTTTGAGCTTTTGGAGCAAATCACAGAGGTGTGTAACTTGTTAAACCATTTTTTTCACTCCATACCGCAGTCACATTTCGTTTGATTTCCATCAAAGATTGATTCATTTTAAAGCTGCGCTAGGTGTCTTAATAAGATAAGATATACGGGCGGCAGTAGCTCAGTCCATAGGGACTTGGGTTGGGAACCGGAGGGTCACCTGTTCAAGTCCCTGTCTGGACCAAAATATGGAGCATGGACTGGTAGCTGGAGAGGTGCCAGTTCACCTCCTGGGCACTGCCGAGGTGCCCTTGAGCAAGGCACCGAACCACCCCCACCGCTCAGAGCGCCTGTCATGGGCAGCTCCACTCTGACATCTCTCCACTTAGTGCATGTATAGGTCCTGTTTGTGCATGTGTGTGTGTTCGGACCTGTGTGTAATTGACAACAGAGTGAAAAATTGAATTTCCCCTCAGGGATTAATAAAGTATATAAAATTAAATTAAAATTAAAATTAATTAATTAATTATTATTATAATATTATAATTCCCAGAGGGGAATTCAAATATCACAGCAGCACAAGACAAAACAAAAAGACATCAAATAGAATAAGATAAAAGAGAAAAAAATAAAATAAAATGGAATAGAATTATAATTATTAAATGAAATAAAATTACCACATCATTATTATATTGGTGATTTCAAATGGCAACAAATCCCTGCAGTACCCAGAAATCTAGTGAGGGCATGTAAATCAGGGCTCCAAAGTGCAACTATTGTGGTTGCGCATGTGACCAAAAATCTGTGAAGTGCAACTTAATATGTTCATTGGTTGTACTGGTATGTACGGTGGCAGACAAAGACAAACGCGATGCAAAGACAGAAATGCACTGCAAATAGAGAAACGCACTGCATATAAGAAAACAAATACAAAGGGAAAATGCTGCATATACTGAAACGCGCTGCAAATAAGAAAACAAATGCAAAAAGAAAACGCTGCATATTCACTCATACAACGGAAGTGCTCCAGGCCTCAAGGGGCAGTGCTAAGCTTCCACCTGAGAGACAGACGAGTGAGCGAGAAGAAGAAAGTTATGTTTGGAGGAAAGTTGGAGCCCAGACAGGTAACACAGAAAGGTACGTATTCTTTTTCATTTTTCTTTCTTTCTTGTTTTTCACATGTGGCCCTCATCTTTTACTGTATAATGAAAGTGAAGCTGATTTACACAGCTGACGTTAGCGTGCTAGAGACTTTGAGTTCTACACAAGTAGTGTATCCGTAGTGGTAATGTTAGCTAATGTTACTGTGACTAATGTTACTTTCCGGGATACCCCAGGTTTCAGTTCGGAGGCCTACTTTTCTGAACATTTTTAATGTATAATACAGTATATAGTTTTTGAATTATAAAATTCGGTTCAGCTCTGGTGTTTAGAGCTGAACCACTGTGAAACAATCATGAAATAATATTTTCTCTGATTTGCCTGCTGTCTGTCAGCGCTGAGCGCCGCCTCCTCCCTTTCAGTCTGTACCGCGGACACAACGCTGCACTGCCCGAGTCCGAAGAGGAGGACAGAAAAGACACTTTTGCTACTCATAATAAAAACTCCATGGGCTGCAATAATCCAAGATCAGAGGCACAATGCAATTATAGGAAATATGCACGAGTGGGATAAAAAAATGAAGGTGAAAGTGATTACATCCAGCAAGGATTTTCACCCAATGATGATTATGATGATAATAATAAATAATAGCAATGATAATGATAAATAATCTAACACAATACATTCATAAAAATGAAACAAAAGAGCCTAACATAGGAAACAGATTATCATGACATTTATATTAAAATCCTATAAACAAGGAAAATCAAATCAAATAAATCCACCATAAAAACACTTCCAAGACTTCTATTAAAGTTTTTTTTTTGTTTTTTAATGAATATGGTTTTGATATGCTTTACATTTAGTTAAAAGGCAAGTTTCAATATTTTGTAAGACAGCCAGTGTTGGACTAAGAGTCTCATCCTACATTAGCCGAACTCATCACAGTATTTAACATCAAGCCATTACCTAAAGTTCAAATAGCAAACACATTAAAATCATTATATTCCAACAGTCCCCCTTTTGGCCTCATATAGATGAGGCCATTACCCTTAAGCACCAGTGCACACCCCCCCCTTTTCAGGTCTTTTAATTACTGTAACTTTTTGTTTTTCTCAAAAACAAAAAGTTATAACTCCCCCTTTTGGTCTCATACACATGAGACCACTCATACTTTGTCTTCTTCTGAATCTGAATCTGTTGGCTGTTCCCCCAATAGGGTGGCCGTCTCCATTTGAGTCATCTGATACGGTGTGGGTTGTGGATGTTTTCTCTCCACTGCTGACACTATGAACCTTTCACAGAGAGACCTGATGCATGGGATGCAACAACAGCCACACAATGCTAACACCCCGAGCATTCCCACCAGAGACAAAAATACCGATACCACTAGATTCTTCCACTTACCAAACCATTGTTTGAACACTCCGCCTATGGGGTTATCGATACCTGAATGCTCATGCATCTCTTCGGACAGTATACGTAGCCCTTCCAGTGCTTTAGTGACTGACCCATCTGGAGCTGTGTTATTTGGGATGAAAGTGCAGCAGAGACCCTGGAACATAGAGCAGACACCCCCTTTCTCCGCCAAAAGCATATCTAAGGCAATTCGGTTCTGGATTGTCATTAGGGAGGTGGCCGCCAACTGCTCCGAGAGTCCCCCAACTGCATCTCTGGTGCTGTTAGCCAATCTGAGAACATTGTAATGAACATAATTAATTCTGTCAACATTCTTGTTAGGAGTGATGGAGAACAGAGCAGATATTATGGGCAGGTTTTCAAAACCCGCAGTTTATATTGATCTGGAACCCCACGAGGAACGCCTATGGCGTCTATATACGTGGTGGAGTCAGAGCCAATGTCAAACGTATCTCTTTTCTTTCTGCTAGAACTGGCCTGGGAGTCCCTCAGCCCTAAGAGGACCAGAGGCACTGCCAGTTGGACCAGTGCGCACGTGCCGGTCCAGGTAGATGGCAGGGATAAATGGAGGGTTTTATCTCCACAGTTTATCACAGAACACAGGTCAAATTTAAATCCCATGGCTGTTCCCCTCGTATAGTTCAATGTGATGCTACCATACTTATCTATGCAGCTGTCGGAAGGTCTGCCTGTTCCCGCGCTTCTTTTGGTTCGGTTTCGTGGTTGTTCTGTGGCTTTGTCTCTGGGGGAAGACTCAAAATATAAAAAAGGTAAAACAATAACAGAGGTTAATACAAAGCCTCCCAGCCAACACCACTTATGGTGGCGTTGCTCTACTCCCAACAATCTCATCATTTCCTCTATAATGCATAAATGAATGTAAATGTAAAAAGTAAAGGTAAATATGGAGTGTAAATATAAAAATGTGGCAAGCAAACTTTCAGTATATCCTGGCCTGCTATATTCAATCGTACTCTGGGCAAAGTGTTGCTTCAGAGGAGCTTCTAACCTTCACATTGATCACAGGATATCTTTACCGCACTTATGCTGAACTAAGAGTAAATGTAGGTGTGAGTGAGTTGTTTTTTTTTTTTTTTATTGTCTCTTATGTCTTCCAGTGTTCGGGCAGGTGTCTCTGCCACTGCACACTGACTCCAGTGATACCATGTGTCACCTTTTCCCTAGAGTTTGACGGCGTGGGACGTCCGTTCCACGACTTTGTAGGGGCCAGTCCACCTATGCTCCGACCACTTTCTTTTAATCACCTTGAGCAGGACCCACTCTGATGTTGGGTGCCCCTTTCCTTCTGCTCCCTCCCGAGCTGCTGTCACCTGTTTGGAGAAAGCTGACACCAATGCTGTTAGTTGGTCATAATACGGTTTATATTTTAGAGGACTTTCTTCCTCTTCTGTAGTTTGAATCCCAGCTCCCGGTCCCGGGAACTGTTGCCCTGTTTTCAGCTCATATGGAGTAAAACCTGTCAGTGAGTTAACAGAGCTCCTGATGGATAATAGAGCTAGGGGTAGCGCATCCACCCAAGTCATTTTAGTCTGGGCACAAATCTTGCCTATTTTTCCCTTAATAGACTGATTCATTCTTTCCACTCTGCCCTGTGACTGAGGATGATAGACTGTGCCAAATGTATGTTTTGGCCGCAATGCCTTCTCTACCTGCTGTAGGTCTTTGTTTTTAAAGTGAGTCCCGTTATCAGATCTGATTCGTTTGGGGAACCCGTGCCTGGGGATATATTGATTTATCAGAAATTTGATTACTGTCTTTGCATCCTCTGATTTGGCAGGTATGGCTTCTGGCCAACCAGTGTATGCATCCACTGCCACCAGAAGACACCTGTATCCTCCCACTCTCTCTAGCATGTCTGTATAGTCAATAATGACCTCTTGACCTGGGAGTTTAGGGAGGGGAAATCTCCCCCTGATGTGGTTTCACCGTGGGTCTAACATTGTATTCTGTACATATCTTACATTCTTGGACGTGATTCTCAATCATTGCTGGCAAAAACGGGTGCCACAAATGAGTGAGATATCGCGCCATTTGCGTTTTCCCACAGTGAGTCACACCATGAGCTTCTTGAAGGACTGATCTCCTCAGCCCTGGGGGCAGTGCAGGTCTCCCATCTGGAGACCCCCACATACCCTCTGTCTTTACTGCTCCTCTTTCTCTCCAGACTGTAAGCTCCTCTGGAGAGGCTTTCTGCTGTTCTGCTATTAACATATTTACATCACAGGGCGGCAGGAGGTCATGCACTGTTCTCTCTGTTTGTAGCATTACATACTGCTGACTGTATCCTGCCTTTCTTTTGGCTGCCACATCTGCTGCGTCATTCCCTCTGGAGACAACTGTCCCTGTTTTGTCATGACCCTTGCACTTAATCACTGCTACCTGTGCCGGCTTCATCAGAGCCTCCCGTAGTCTCCTCATGTCCTTCTCATGCTTAATGGGGGTCTTTGCTGCTGTTAAAAAGCCAGATCTGATCCACTGTGTCATTTCCACATGGATCGCTCCTACGACATAGGCAGAGTCTGTGTAGATGTTCACTCTTTTCCCTTCAGCCCATTCTAATGCTGCAATCATTGCTTGGAGTTCAGCCAATTGAGATGATTCTTTTCCTGTCACACTTTCTGTAATCACTTCCTCAAACCCTGTCTCTGTCTGTCTTACCACTGCATATGCTGCTTTGAGTCCCTCCATTGGATGTCTAAAACAACATCCATCTGTGAAAAATGTTTTTTACACATAGGGCCTAAGTCTTTGGCTTGATGTTTTGCATGAAATGCCAAGGATATGTGAGGGGAGGCTTCCTCCGCCGCCTCATACCACTGCAATTGCTCTGAGGTCAGTTCAACACCTGCAGCCACTCCCTCATTTCCCACCAGTATGCAGGTGGATGTTATCTCCTACATTTTCCCTTCTATCTCACTATAAAATGCCTGTTGATACAGCTCGTCGCCATTCCTGTCATAATAAAGAGTTACATGGAGGGGATCAGGAGGAGGCGTGTAGGGATTTAATGACTGAACCCAGGGACGCCAAGAGTGCCAATGCCAGGCGTCTCCATGGTTTCTGGCTCAAGAAGCCCCCGTTATTGATATCCTCCTGTACCTCCTCTCGAGCCACTCCAATGGGGAGGGAGAGGATCAACCCACTCTGGGGTCGGAAAAATCTTCTGCATCATACTGACCTGGTTCATGCGTCTTATTCTCACTCTCCCTTCTGCTGCTATTCCTCCCTGAATCTTCTCTATTCCCCCTTATTTGGAACACCGATTCTGCTAGTGCTCTTGACTCTTCCCCTCCAGCCTCCACTTTAGGTGTACTGGTGGAGAGAGGGCCCTGTTTTATGCTCCTGCCGCTGCCTCTGCTATCTATGCTGCACACCTCCTCTTCCTGTTCCTTGCCCCCATTGAAAGACCTCAGGGGGTCCTGATGCACACTCTGTGCATTAGACAAAACGTTTGCTACTTCCTGTCTCGGTCTCTCTACATGTGCTAACCCCTGTCTTATTTCCCTAGTTACTTCCTGTTTAGCTTTCTCATACTCCTCCTCATCCACCACATCTGCATTGATCACTCCCTCCTTAATCACCAGCAAAGGCATTTGCCTGTTGCTCCCCAAGTATGGTGGTGGAGATGGGGCTGGGGGTGTCTGAGGTAGCTCGGGATACAATCTATTATGGGTGGGCTCTGGTGGTGCCGGCGCAGGAACTGGCGCAGGAGTTGGCGGAGTGTTTGTCTCTGTTTTGTTTTTTTGTGAGTCTTATCAGTGTGTTTCCAATAAGCCATGGCAGTAACTGCCATCTGATGGAGCAAGGCGTGTTTGCGTTCCTTCTCCTCCTTCTGGTTTTTCCATTGTCTTTTTATGAGTTTTGGTTTATTCTCCCTTTTTGTATGTTCTTCCAAATCATCTCTCGCCTTTACCTCTGCAGCCAGCAATTTCTTTGTAACATTTACTGCCTCCTCATCGCCAGGAAGCTCATTTTGGGCCTGTAATGCCTTCCATAAATCATCAAACTCCTTTCCTACAGCCTGTCTCTGCTTATCTATTACTCCTGACAATAACTGTTTCCTAATCTCCCCGCACTGTGTTTTTACTAGGATGGGAGGACACCCACCCTGCTCACGACAGTCCCTGTCAAATTCACCGTCCATGATGTCTCTCTGTCCCTCCTCTGTCCTTACTTATTTTACTCAGAGGGTACTACTCGTCACGATGTTACAAAACTTCACACAATTAAAACAATACACACAATACTCAGCGCCACGTGACCGCTCTGCAGCGCAGTCCGCGCGGACTTATTTTCCCCTTTCTACCGTTGTGATTTCGCTGCTTAAGTTCCACCAAATGCAGGCCGACACACCCAAGCTTCTACACTGCTCTCCTAGGAGGGTGCAGAGTGCCTATGGCTCGGCGGCAAATGGCTTCTATCTTAAGGCGTAATTACACAACTTCCACTTTTTCTTCCCCACAGAATGAGACCACCGCTCAGGCACGAAAAGAGTTGGAATTCGAGTCACCTCTAATAGACACTACACAACTCTTCCGCCCCGTAAAAATAGCTGGTTGTCGGTAAGCCACCCACAAAACAATAACCCCTTAAAAGACTTATTTATTTACACTCCCAATATCAGGGTGGTTCTGCGGACCAATGAATAGATGTCTCAACATGAGCGATAGTATTCAGTGTTAGGGATCACATGGAAAAAGCTCCCCTGCCCGCAGAACTCTGTAACCTCTTTTTTGTGTTATAACAATCTACACAAAGGTCTTTCAACCTCAGACAACAAGTGTCTTCAGACTATATTCTCAGCTGTCCAAGGAGCAACCTTATGGGTTCCCCCCCGAGCTTATCAACCTCAGGACACTCATCTTTTTCTTTTTTAGAGACTAGATGGAAAACCTAGTCTCTTTTCACCCAACTATGTTTCGTATTTAGGAGTCAAATTTATGATTTACTCCAGGGCCTTACACCCTACTATGTTTCATGTTTAGGAGTCAAATTTATGATTTGCTCCAGGGCCTTGCACCCTGTCCTGTCGAGGTGTTGACTATGTTTCGTATTTAGGAGTCAGATTTATGATTTGCTCCAGGGCCTTTCACCCTCTGACCCAGGGCATTTCACGTTTGTGTTTTGTTTTAATTTTATTCCTTTACGTTTTAGACTAGGAGACTGTAGTAAAATGACAACACAATCTTTTAGCATTTCCAATTGCAGAACTTTGATAAAACAGGCGTCTGCTTACCTTTTTCTCAGGCCGGCCAAGTGTTGTCACGATACTGTCGTCCTCCGCTGAATAGTTGTCTTTATTCCGTCACTTCTCCGTCTTCATCACGTCGGGGTCACCAAATTGTTGGACTAAGAGTCTCATCCTACTTTCCTCTCTTTTTTTTTCTTTTTTTTTTCTCTTTTTTTTTCCTTTTTTTTTTTTTTTACTTGTCTGCATTGGTCTTCATAGCTTAGCGCCACTAAAGGGTGTAAGCTTCTTGTGAAGATTGATGCACTGTTAATCTTGCAGTCAAGTATTTTATACCCATAATGCGTGAGACTAGCCTATCAGCCTTTATTGGAAAAACTTCCTAATATGAGTCAGAGAGGGCCGTGATACACCAAAGTGTGTCAGGGGGAAAGTAAGGAAACAAGCAAGGGGGAGGGGGCAGGTGCTTAAGTCCTGAGTTATATAGTGATAGTGCATGCGGAGAAGAAGGAGGAAAAACAAACAAATAAACAAACAAACGGAAAAAAAACAGGGGAGAAACAGGCAGTGTAGCTGATGTATTGTGGCCTTGAGGTGGTTGTGCTCCATGCAGATTATCGAAAATAAACATATACATGTCTACTATACTGTACTGAAAAACAAAAACAAAAGAGAAGTCTATACTGAACACCAAAAATGTGAGAGTCTTGGTGGAGGGGGAAAGCCCAATTGCAGAGAAGAGTTGCCAGCGCGGTGTGGTAGGTTTGAGAAGCAAGTGGGCCCCTTTGGAGTGATCCCATCGGTTCTTTGCGATGCGTCACGGAGCTGAAGTATCGAACATGCATGTGTGTATTTGAACCCT